TACAGAACTATAAGAATTGACTGGTTTTTTATTTTAACATGAAATAGACCAGTGGTCGGCTAGCAAGCCACATGTGGCTCGTTGGCCCCTTGAGTGTGGCTTTTACACAAAATACCATGGCCTAGGTGAGTCTATTTTGAAGAAATGGTGTTAAAAGAAGTTTAAGTTAAAAACAAATAGTCTCTCAAAAGAAATTTCAATCATTATACTATTGATATTTGGATCTGTTTAATGAGTTTGCCGACCAATGGAATAGACTATCCTATATAATAAAACCCTAATATACAAATTGACCAAACAGCTGAACCACTGGTAGCTGTGATACACACTGACCCCAGGGGGCAGACCCTCAAAGCAGGAGCTGCCCCCTGGTGGTCAGTGTGCTCCCACAGGCTGGGCTCACAGCTGGTGAGCACAGCCACAGTGGGGGGAGCCTGCCTCGCCTCCACTGCAGGCAGGTGGTAAGGAGCGAGGGGGCCTGGGAGCAGGCCTAAGCCAGCAGTCAGACATTCCCCAAGGGGTCCCAGACTGTGAGATAGCGCAGGCCAGGCTGAGGGACCCCTATTCCCTAGTACATGAAACTTCATGCACTGGGCCTCTAGTGTTCTTCTAAGAGTATTGTTTTAAAAAAATATCTCTTTTTGAATGAATAATCAGCAGTGATTTCATCACAAAATCCATATTTATACCAATTTATTTCAAATACAAAACTTCTTTTTGTTTTTAACTTTATTTAGTTTGAAAGTCTTTGCCTCCTCAGTGATTCAGCTTTGCAGCTTAATTTTTTTGATCAAGTAATTGACACAAATGACAGATTTTAGGAGTTTGAAATCATGCAAGAACTCAGCATGAAATTATCATATTTTCTCTCTCTTTTAGAGCCAAATGTTGAATCTTACTCATGATAACATAGGACCTGTTTCATGCTATTTCTATTGACACCACCATAAGGCAGGCTGAAGTTTAAAAACATTTTGTGAATCATAAGACATGATTTTGTTTTTTAGGTTTTGGTTGTTGTTGTTTTTTTAATGTAGTCATTGATGTAAAAAAAATTGCTTTTATGAAGGGAACAAATAACCATTCCTAAAATATCAGATAGGGGATGAAAAATTATGTAAATAAACCTTACCATGCTATGCAAGTGTCAACATGAACAAATGAGTTTATTTGGTGTATAGAACATGAGGACAATTAAGCATTATTAAATAAATTTTACCAAAGTACTAATCATTTTTACTTTGTGAAAATATTATTTTGTCAAAATGAAGTGGTACCATCTTAGGGGTTATTAGCTGTGGAATGAAACTTTATATGCCTTGTCTCATCTACTACAATAGCCTTTTAGGCTATAAGTGTTATTTTCCACATTATATGTGAAGAAACTAAGGTTTAGAATAATCAAGTAAATTTCCCAAAGTCCTATAAGTAATAACCAGTGGAGGGAGGGCTTAAACTCCTCTGTTGGACTTTAGAGTCCACACACCCCTCCCTCCATGACTTGCTTCACAACGTCTGCAATGGATACCATGTCTTTTTGAGAGTTTTATGACTTTTCTGACATTTCCATTCACATTGCACATCCCTGTCACCCTGAGGAAGATTGGGAGTGGGGTGGAACACTATAAACACCCTTTCTTTTCTCTACCGGATAAACTTATGATATTAATCTTTCTCAAATGGTTTATTGTACTGTTTCTTGTCCAGTATCAACAACTGCTTTAAAAGAAAAATGGAGTCCCAAAGGGGCAATTTGCAGTATTATTTAACAGTAGGAGAATAGAAAAATGCCATTTTCTTTGTCTGAATTATGTGTACATGAGCCTAAAACTTCCCCTCTCGCCATCAAGTTTTGGGGTTTTTTTTGTGTGTGTTTTTTTTTTACTTTCGATTTAAGAACCAGCTGTTGGCTTTACCTCTTTCTACCTGCCGGATGCTTTCTGAATCACATTCAGCGCTCAATTTTAGTGATTCCCATTAAAGTCCAGAGCCTAGGGAAATCACCCTGAGTCTGTGTTTCCTAGCAACATCCCTGAGAGTAACAACAGCTGCTCAACCATATGCCACTGGAAAGATGCTGTAGGGGAAATACACAGAAATTGATACTAAATGCCTTAAACCTGGAGAATCCAAATACCATAGTTACCATGTTTATTTTTTTTACCTTTAGTTGTGTTAACATAAAAAGACAAATAAGTTTAAGTATCTAAAATTTACATTTTATTACAGGCTACATGAGCTTTAGCAATCAGTGTGATTTCTAGACATTTTTTTTGCTGAGGTTAACGCAGGTATAGCCTTGATGGAAATAATGCCTTTCTGTATAATGTTCTCAAAATGTTCAATATGTATCAAAATTAAATTATCCATTGGGCACACTTGAAATTCCTTACAAATTTATGTTGATATTCTGTATCTTTCTGTGTTATTTTATTTTTGTTTTATCTTTTCCAGGATATCATAATTAAAGTCATATTACATATGACTCTTCAGATCTGTTTCTTTCACTTGGTTATATGCATTTAAGTTTTATACATGTTATTTTATGGCTTGATAGCTCATTTCTTTTTTTGTACTAAATATTCCATTGGATGTACTATAGTTTACCCATTCACCTACTGAAGGACATCTTGATGCCTTACAAGTCTTGGTAATTATGACTAGAACTGCTATAAATATCCATGTGCAAGTTTTTGTATGGATATAAGCTTTCAGCTTATTTGGTTAAATACCAAGGAGCATGAATGCTGGGTTATATGGTAAAAGCATGTTTAGTTTTCTAAGAAACAACCATATTATCTTCTACAGTGACTGTGCCATTTTGCATTCCCACATACTTGCCAGCATTTGGTGGTGTCAGTATTTTGGATTTCATTCTTGTAGATGTGTAGTAATAGTTATCTCATTGTTGTTTTGTTTTGTGATTGCCTAATAACATGTGATGTTGAGCCTCTTTTCATATGCGTATTTGCTATCTGTATATCTTTTTTTGATAAGGTGTCTCCAGATATTTTGCTCATTTTTAAATGGGTTGTGTTTTTTTATTGTTGACTTTTAAGAGTTCTTTATATATTTTGGATACCAGTCCCTTATCAGATAAGTGTTTTTCAAAGATTTTCTCCAAGTCTGTGGCTAGTCTTTTTTATCTTAAGATTCTACAATAAAAATAAGAATGTAATTACTTAGCTTAATCTTGAACAGAGGAACTACTACAATTCCTGTGCTTTGTGTTGTAGGAGGAAAGGTTATTTTTTGTGGTTTCTGTGCAAAAACAAATTTCCCCACATTTTAAAATCATTAATATGTTTCTTCTCTGTCTGCCCCCATCTCTTAATAACTTAGCTCCTGTAAGTCTAAGCAGTTCACTGTAAGGAGGAAGAATGAAAAATTATGCTGGACTCTTTTTTTGTTTGTTTGTTTTCATCATTAGATGATCTGTTATAATAGCTATTATCAAAATAATAGCCAGTAATTCAGTAAATGTACATGTGGATCATGTCTTTATAGATATTAAAAAAGATAATATCTTTGACATCTTTTGAAATCCTACTTAATTTTCAAATTGTTCCTGATAATTTTCAGAAGTTCTGGCCACCCATGGATTTTGTTTCTTGGTTTTGTTTCTGTTACTTTTCTTAGTCCTTATTGTAAACAGCTAATTAAAACAAACCCATATTTTAAGGTCTGGTTATGCTATGAAATTTAGTTTAATGATTTTATACAAACATCAATTTTTGCCCTAACTGGTTTGGCTCAGTGGATGGAGCATCTGCTTGTGGATTGAAGGGTAACAGGGCCGATTTGGGTCAAGGGCATGTACCTTGATTGTGGCACATCCTCAGTAGGGGGTGTGCAGGAAACAGCTGATCCAATTTTTCTCTTTCATGGATGTTTCTAGTTTTCTATCCCTCTCCCTTTCTCTCTTTAAAAAAATTAATAAAATGTTTGTTTTTTTTTAATCAATTTTCAAACTTGCACCCATGTTAGTAATCAACTTGGGTTTGTAAAACAAGAGTATTTTGTTAGGAAAAGAGATCATGAAAATAATTACTTATATTAGTTAAGAGCTTTTTCTGACTTCATTTTTCTTAATGAATTTATTTGCCTAGGAAAAGTTACTTATTTTAAAGCTAAGATCAAATGTAAAGTTCGGGTCATTAATTTTCTAAATGTTTATATATGATGAAGTCCAATACTTGCAACAGATAAATGTGGAACTGCTCTGGTTGGAGGTCAGTGGGTGGAGTGGAGGAGACGAGCACACTCTTGTCTGCCTTTTCCCAGTTATCTCTGAGGAGTCCACAGGCCTATAGGGAGAAGAACTGGAAAACTGGTCTACATTATTATTTTTACTTAAAGCAACAACAAAGCCAAATAGTCATTATTGAGCTATTTATCGTGGAGTTCTAGGTGTCTAATTTATAAGGTTTCTGAATTAGACTTCAGGGCCTATGTTACATTTTATTACAGTCTACAACATAAATGTAGACTGGCAAGAATTAAACTAAAAGCCTGTTTCACAGCTGTTATGCATCTGGGAGTTTGGTTAAAAGGGGCTAGCTTAGCTTAGCCTGGGTTGTGATAAAAAGCAGGGTCTAGAGGCCTTTTAACTCAAGTCCTGTGCTCTGATCAGAGCTCTATTTAATACTGGCCCATAAGTCCACATAATTATAATTTGTAAGAGTCTTTAGGATACTAGTAACTATTAAATCTCACCATGTGAAAAATTATTATGTCACCTGTGGACTTTAAAAGTAGTTAGCAAACTGGGATAAAGGTGATAATCAAACCAAACATGTCTGAAACTTTCTCTGCCCGAGTTTTCAACGGACGATGTACCAGCTATTCTTGGTAATATATTACTCCTTAATATGCTTTCATGAGGAATGTTAATTCCGATAAATGAATGCTTCATGTCAGAGTTGTTGTACCATTGGGGAAACGCAGGTTCCCTTTTTAATGTAACCTTTTTACGTTTTGGCTTTCTCCCAGGCTTGCAGATGGGTCAGGGGCTGTGGAGAGTGGCCAGAAACCAGCAGCTACAGCAGGAAGGCTACAGTGAACAAGGCTACCTCAGCAGAGAGCAGACCAGGAGGATGGCTGCCAGCAGCATTTCTAACGGCAGTCATCGTAAACAAGTCCAGGGAGGCATTGATATATATCATCTCTTGAAGGCGAGGAAATCTAAAGAACAAGAAGGATTCATTAATTTGGAAATGTTGCCTCCTGAGCTAAGCTTTACCATCTTGTCCTACCTGAATGCAACCGACCTCTGCTTAGCTTCATGTGTTTGGCAGGACCTCGCTAATGATGAACTTCTGTGGCAAGGGTAAGTCCAACTCCGATATCTCCAAACATAATCACCTTAACTGTTCTTTTTGTGCTATATTTGTATTATAAAATGTTTCTTTCAACCAGAGTTGTTCTTTATTAAAACCTGGAAAATCAAGATAGAGTTATCATCACAGTCAAATTTGATATTAGGAAAAGATGGGCAGTATAAAAGAAAACGAGTTACAGATATAGAAGAGAGGTTACCAATCAAGATGCATCAATTTATTTTAAGTCAAAAATTGTCAGTTTATTTTAAAAGTTCAAGTTGTTAAGTGAAAATGTATAATTCAAAATTAAGTGTTCACACCCCTGGTGTAGTTTGTGCTTCCCTTATAAAGAACAAGTATACTTAAAAATCAGTAAATATTCTTCAAATCTCATTGTTTCCATTGATTACAGATGGAGTATGACTGTGTTTACTCATATATTTCTTTTTGTCAGAGGTGCTTATTAGCATAAACTTTTAACTCATGAATATTTCATCTACTTTTAATTTTTTTTTAACCACCATGTAATCAATGAAGTAGGCAAATATTAGAAAGCAAAGAGATCATCTACCTGCTGAACTGAATGTAGATTATAGAAATTTTAACAGCTATTATACCAGTTTAAATTTAAGCTATAAACCTAAGAATGTTTGGTGAAATAGAATCTACTCTATGGAAGCTACATTAATCCTTAAAAAAAAAAGTACATATACTAGAATTGTGAAAATATTATCAAACATAGGAGAATCATTGGTTTTTCTAGCATTCTTTACCAAAATTTGTTTCATTATTTTTAAAAGGAACTTCATAATGATATAAAACATATCTAAAAACAAGTCTTTATGAGACTTGAATTTCTAAATGAAAACCTAATTGAGAGAATTAATAAATTATCTAAATAGCCCATCTTTAGTCAAAATGTATTACCAACAATGACATTCCTCACACAGGCTTCCAGATGCAACAGAATTACAGTACTAATTATATAGATAATTTCTTACCTCTAAATAGATATAAATCATCAGTATCATCTTGTTGGTCTCATTGTTTTATCATAGTGAAGGTACTGTGGAAGTAATACTTACATTAATTAGTAATGTTTAAAATAAATTATGTTTATTATTTTTAATGATTTGGTATAAGAGAAAATGAAAGTACTTTAAAACTTGACCATTTTATTTATTTATAATCTCTTTTCTACATTTTAGTACTCCCAGCAAACTTATGTCCTTATCTTTGAAAAAAAAGTTTATAACTAAGCTCATCTGAATGAACTCAACCAGAAAGTAGTTTTCTTTTGTGATTTAAATCTGGATTGCTCATTGTTTAAATAAATTCTTTCTTTTTGTTTACCACATAATTATGCCTATTTTTATGATGCTTGAATTTTTTTTCTTAGTGATAAATTGCTTCTGTTTTAAATTAAAGGATGGCTTAGTTTTTATTTTAACTTTGGATGTGCTGAATACTTACTAATGTTGGGAGGTTCTGTAGTTGAGTAATAAAAGACAAAATCTATGGGAATAAAGAGGCTACTAAAATAATGGTAATTTCCTAAACAAGTTACTAAGCTTATTTAAACTGTATTAAAATTATTTATTTTATTAAAATAATGCAAGGATATAATTGACTATTAAGAAGATAGTCTCATATGAGATTAGGTATTTTACCCACTATCTTCACAATTTTTGGTGTTATAGTCTGAGAATAGTAGCTTTTTCTTGTTTTTCTGTACATTGTGTATGTATGTGAAAGGAAGGAAGTTTGAGCCCCAAATTGATAGTGAATATTAGAAAGTGAAACTACTTTAATGTTTCACTTTCTACAAATAGATTTTTTGTTGTTGTTGTTATGATTTTTTAATTGAATTTATTGGGGCAACATTGGTTAATAAAACAATATAGGTTATAGTTATATAATCCTATAATGCATCATCTGTATGTTGTATACAAGTAGGTATTTTTGAACACACAAAAATAAGGTCATTTTGAGATAGTTACTTAAAAACATATCAAAATGTAATTTCAATATTCTCCATGTCTCTGGAATAATGAGTTTATATTTTATGATCTGTGGTATATAGTCAGAATTTCTGGCAATGTAATAAGATAAAACCTTAGCTATTGGCTCTGTAAAGAGTTGGACACAACTATCCCAATCTGCAGAAATAGTGTGTTTTGAAATATAAGCTGTTGGCATTTGGGTTTTAATGAATTTTTAAACAATCATTTATCTCTGTGATAGTAAAGAGCCAGTGTTTTGAAGCAGTATCTTAAAAATAGTGATGCTTTATGTCACAGCTTTTGATGTATGTATTGAAATTACAAACAATTTTAATGTATAATTTGCCTGTGAATATATATATTTAGTTTAAAAATGTTGTCCCTCTGCCCAGCAATTTCTCCTTCCCATCTCTCTCCACCCCCGCCCCCCCCCCCCCCCCCCGCCCCATTCAGTTTTATGTCCCAATACAGCACATATTTTACTTAATCCTGTTTAGCTCTTGGTTAAGATTGCAAGCTCTGGAATAAGACTCTGAGTTCAAATCCTCTCTCTACACAAATTTGCTATGCAACCTTGGACAACTTTTTTATTGCATCTGTTTCTTACCTGTAGCACCAACATCATAGGAATCCTGTAAAGATCAATAAGCAAGTTAATACTGTAACAATGCTTTAATTAGTGCTTAGTATTTAGTAAGCACTTGAGTGTTAGCTATCATTATTATTAGTTTATATTTGCTTCAGATAGTGCTTAGGCATATTATTGATCTTTGTTACCCACATTTATTATGTGCTGCCAGAATTGTTAAATTGAAGGCATTTGTCTATTATACTCTAGTAAACAAATTTTAAAAGCATAAAATTAAAAATTTTAAACTTTAGAGCTATAAAATCTATTTTTATATCATTTCATGTTACTATTTTATCATGTTTATACACATTTAACTTGGGAAATTAAATATGGCAATGTTTTCTTTTTTTATTTTATCTTTTATAGGTTGTGTAAGTCCACTTGGGGTCACTGTTCCATATACAATAAGAACCCACCTATAGGATTTTCTTTTAGAAAATTATATATGCAGCTGGATGAAGGCAGCCTCACCTTTAATGCCAATCCTGATGAGGTAAGTGAAGAACTTGAATATTTGTAATAGTTGAACTTTATTTTATTTTTTAAAATATATTTTATTGATTTTTCACAGAGAGGAAGAGAGAGGGATAGAGAGTTAGAAACGTCGATGAGAGAGAATCATCGACCAGCTGCCTCTTGCACACCCCCAACTGGGGATGTGCCCGCAACCAAGGTACATGGCCTTGACCAGAATCGAACCCGGGACCTTTCAGTCCTCAGGCCGACGCTCTATCCACTGAGCCAAACCGGTGCCGGCTAATAGTTGAACTTTATTACTTTCTTGTTGCATTTTTCCAATAAACTTGCAAGTAAAATCACAAGTCATTGCACGTGCCTTTTCAATCACTGCAACGCCCAGTATTTGATTTACTGCTGTTTTTACCTTACCATGTCACATCCTAATCTCTGCCTGCTCACATTATATGGCAACTTCCATGACACATGCAGTCCTCTACTGGACCTGATTGAGATATTGGAGCACATAAAATATGGTCATTGAAGTTTATTTACCACATTTTCTTCTTGCTTTGTTTATATTCAACGCTACTACTTTTATCAAAGATAATAATAAAATACATTGTTCTAGTTTTCAACACATCAAAAGGTTTTTTTTAAAAATAATGCCTTTAACAATCTAATTTCATTTGAAATAGAAACTGCTTTTAGATTCTGTTATAAAATTGATAATTTTGTATTCATAACTTAATTTTTTTAAAGACAATAAACACAGGAAAAATGGAGAGTGGGAGAAGCAAGAATAACTGCTTAATAGTTAATTAACTTTTTCTTAACATAATACATAGGAATGATCGAAAGAAAATTATTTCACTGATTTGCCCTCCCCTCCCCATTCTCATTTTAATGTATCCTGGAAAGGTTAAAAATTTTAGATAGATATTTAAATATATACTAGATTTATCTTAAAAATCTAATAGCAATTATAGAGCACTCAGAACTACTAGTTCTAGGTGTATTATTTTTTGTGGAAAAACTTAACTGGCAATTATTTTAATTTACCTAATTTTTAAAACCCAACTTTTTCTCTTATTTGTTGTAAAGGTATTAAATGCTATTTAAATCACGCAAATTTTTTTTAAATATCTTAACTTTTGCTTTGTTATAATTAGAGAAATGCTTCTCCCATGCAAAATATTTAAATATTAAACAGAAATCCTAATTTTATAATATTCATATAATGCAAATGATACCATATTTTTAAAGTTAAATTAATTTTTGCTTGTTACATATAATTTTCTTTGTTATTTTTTTTGGTACATGAATGAAAAGTAAAACATAACACCACTACAAAGGTTTGCCGATACTTACACATTATTAATATAAGTTGTTTTATCCCCACAAATATAACAAAGTCTGGTATAAATATTTAAATTACAATATTTATCCTCTCTTTTTACCACTGTGTAAAGAGTTTTTATTTTTAATAAGTGGCAAACTGGTACTTTGTATGAAAGTAGGATGATTTATAATAAATTAGAGTTCAAATTACATATTTGAAACCAGTATTGGTTTTTATAAATTAATCATTTTTAGAAGGCAAATGAGTAGATAAACTATTATAAATTTAGTTTTTGTAACTTGTCATTTTATTGCAATTATTTTCTGATGTTATTATTATAAAATACACTTATTTTACTTTGTTTTTTTTTTATCAAATTCAAGTTCTATCTAAATATATAGCAACAGTTAGCATGTCTCCTTTTTGATCTTGTACTATTAATACCTACTCTGTATAAGAGATTTAACTGACCACATTATATTTTTGAAAAATGGCATGGTTTCAGGACTTCATTATTTTTGTTTATTAGAATTAGACATTACTTGATGCTAACTAAAACAGTTCATATGATGAACTTTATAGTAAGATATATTTCACATCAGTCTCTTGAGTTAATTGAATGGTGATTACTGGAGGAGAACTGAAGCAGAATAATGTAGTGTTTCACTCATATACATAAGAATCAGGAAAAGGAGGCTATTACAAGCCCCAGTCTTATTATGTCCAGTTTCTTAAGGCATGCTGACTCCTGTCATGACTTATGCTGATGTTATGTTGGGTAAAACTGTCATCTTTAATTAATATCACTTGCAAATGTTACATTATAAGAAAATGTAACTTGGTAAGTACTGAGTTATAGATTTATAAAATCAGAAAAGTTGGATGTAGCTATTGATACTGATTGTGGTAAATAATTATTTCTTACTAAGGGAGTACCCATTTTTTTAAACAAATTATAAAGCTATTCTTTTTATGCAAAGTTGAAAATATAGATAAGCCCTTATATACTAGAATGTGGTGGATATTTTTAAATATCTAACTTGGAAAAGCTAGATGTCAAAATATAATCCCTATCTTTGCAGCTACATGTTAGATTATAGAGTTTTGTTATACCTCCCCAAAGTGTTTGGAAGTGGGAGGGGGCAGAGAAAAGAGGCAAAATTAAGTCTTATTTTTTTATCTGACAAAAATTTTTAAAGTTTTAAGTCAAATGTTTGCTAAGAGAGGGATTGAAGTTATTAATTAAAGTAAGATTCTTAGGTCTTCCGAATTACTTATCCATCCTACCTCCTACCTCCCTTTGTTATTGAGAGTTGGCTGTATTTTCTTCCCCCCCCCCCCCCACTCCCTGGCCTGATTTAAAGATATCCTGGAGCATTCCAGAAGCATTGAACTCCCTGTTCTGAAAGGGGCACAGAGTGCTGCCAAGAGGCATAGAGCTGACCCATTCACAGTGACCTGTGGTCCCGGAATTCTGATTCTGTGCTTTTATGAACATTAGTAACTTAGCATGTGTTGCCTAATAGCAAAATAGAATTCTGCCTTTATCTGAATGTACTTAGGATATTACTAGGCAAAGAAGGATATTGAAATGCACTTCTAGGTGCAGAGAAATGAGGGGAAGTATTTTAATCACTATATTCCATATTTTCTTTCATTAATCAATATAAATAATCAATGGCAATTTGCTTGTTTTTCCAAGTCAGGCCTTCAGAATTGAAATCACGTAACTGAAAGGGATATCCGAATGGATGTTTTTATGTAAAATTTCTCTGTATGAGACATTAGTCATACTTAGAAGACTTTTGCCACGTTTTTTGAGAGCTAAAAATTAGTGCTTTTTGGAGGGTTCCCCCCCCCCCACCTCCTTACTGGAGCACTGTCATCAGATGTGTTATTTTGGCTTAATTTAAGCCTAAGAAATAAATTAGTTTTGATGATATATTTAAATGTAAGTGGTGTTTATTGTAAGTACTTGAGATAAGATGTAATTGTTGAGTATTGTAAAAAAAAAAAAAAAGATAGTCTACTTTTCCATAATTTCTAGTTCTCTACTTAACATTTGATAGCAAGCATCATTAAAATATTATCAAATAAGAATACTTACAGCCACAGGGAACAAGATTCTCCAAAGGACATCGTTCATGTCACGGATATGGGTAACCAAACTCCACAGCAACTGGGGTGGGGGAGAAGATCTGCACAGTCCTTGGTACGATTTATCTAGCACGCTGTTGTTGTATGCATGCCATTGTGATCTCAGCTGTATGTAAAGTCTTGATCTTGTGCATGAGCTTGTGTACTTTGTGGCAGGTGACCACATTCTAGTAAAGGAATGTGCTATAAACCATCTGTTACATTAGGCTGTATTTCCCCTGCATGTACCAGTTCCGTGTGTTGATTTTATCCCACTAGAAATATTGTAATAAAGTAATCTTACTTATCATCCAGTCAGCTATATTCTTCATGCTCCATTTAGAATTGAACATTTTCTTGACCTAGTTATTTTTAAATTTAGTCTGAAAAAATGATAGTGAACATGGATTTTTAAAGTTTATTATAGGTTTATTTTTGTCTAAGTATGTTCTTTAAAAGTTTTTAAACATAATATCCTCATTGTGGTCAGCTAAGAGAAGTCTTTATTTTTAACTATATAAGCACTTTTTTTTTCCTGTGTTTATTCAAAAAGACCCACATGCATACAGTTTTATGCATTTTGTTAAGTTGGTCTTGGGTAGAACCTGTTAAGAGAAATATTTTAAATTTGACCTGTGCATATGTTTTAGATGGAAATGCATAAGATAATTATTTTTAAGATAATATATAATGTTTGTTGTTGGAACAGCTAAAATATAATTAGGAAATTGTAGGCGTTCTCCACTAAAGGAAGGAAAACAAGCATTTATATTCAATTTTTATGAGTAATATCTCTGAAATTAAATCTTACTGATTTTTTTCATTATCACTACTTCATAGGATAGCAACAGTGATGAAAAAGAACTTTTGTTTTTATTGCTAGAGATAGAAAATCTTGATTTGGTATCAGAAATTACAGATAAGCATGTATTCTTTGGTAGTAAGTTAAAGGTATACTTTGCACAATGTCTAATAGCATAAAGAACGAAAGATAAACTAAACTTCCTAAATTCTTAGCTTATGTTATAAATGAAAATATATTTAGGAATAATTTATCCCCAGTGCTCTTCAATTTGTTTGTCTTCTCAGCCTATGTCACCTTTTATGATCTTCCTGCAGTACCCACTTTTCCAGCTAGGGTGTCTGGGGCTTGAAGTCCTTGAGAATCTAACTAATAATGTCTTAAGCCATATACATTTATTTACTTCAAATGACACCCAGAGATGGATATCCCAGAGTTATTTCCGGACTCTCAGTGTGTTGACTTTTGCCCTTTTTTGATAACAAGATGGCTACCGCTGCTCAAAATATCTCATTCTCATGTGAAAATACCCTCAACACAAAGAAGGCAGTCAAAGAACTTCTCAGATTCCTTCTGCTTATTGGCAAAAGGGGGTCTTTTTCAGGAGCCCCCACTGTACTTATGCTCATTTCTTATGAACACAGCTGAATTAAATGTACACCCCTAGAACAACAGAGAACAGAATAGAAAGGATTACATGACTGACTAAACTTAACATGATTTAGTAACTGTGACTGAGATGCTAGAAGCAATGAAA